GAAAGCTATGAAAAATGATGTTGTTTTAATGCAATGATGATATGAATATTGTGAAGTGAATTGATGAGAAAAGCAGACCCAAACACCCCTTTTTATAGTGCCAAAATAGGCTCCAACGGACCAATGCATTAAAGGGGTGATTGGCTTGATTTAAGGGATTGAATAAATTTGGGATCTGCAGGATATTGGCTTCCCATCGATGTTTGGAACTTACCCATCGCTGGTAAGCCAATTTTCCTTCAGTTTTTGAAGCCAACGGTTATCTACCCATCGATGGGTACAAGCTTCCCATCGCTGGGTGGGAGGTTGACTTCCAAACAAGGAAAGAATCAACCTTAAATTACTTCCAATGGTCATGCCTTCCCATCGATGGTTTAGACTTCCCATCGCTGGGTTCCCATCGATGGGTAAAGCTTCCCATCGCTGGGTAAGGGCATTCTGCCTTGTGATAATGTTGGACCAAGGCTTGAACAGCGATGGGTAGAGCTTCCCATCGCTGTTTGGCATGGTTCTGGAAGTTGGTTTGGCTAAGGGGCTACTTAACCATCGATGGGATGTTCTTCCCATCGCTGGGTGGGTGGTTAGCCAAAAGCCTGTGGTTTTTGCCTTAACCACGGCCTAGCCAACCGATGCAAAAACCGACCAAAAAATCCAAGGTTCTCCAAAATAAAAACCAAGTGTTTAAAACACTTATTTGATGTATTTGGCTAAGAAATCAAGTGAGACACTTTAAAAATCACTTCATTTGATTAAAAACCACGGCTAGCCAAGTTTACGCCGTTTTGTGTGGTTTTTGTCAAACGACTAAAAACGAGAGATGGTTTTCAAAGTGTTTTTGTTGGAGAACCGTTTAAACATGCCAAAGAGTGAAAGCAGATCATAAAATGCTGAAAAACACTTGGTTGGTTCGGATGCCAAAAACCAAACCCGACAACCGAAAGCCGAACGCTGGTTTCTGAAAGCCGAACACTGGATGGCTTGGTTTTTGGTTTGGGCGAACACCAAGTGTTTTTAATGACTTAAACAAGTTTGAAAAACATTTTTATGATGTAAGACATGCAATGAGAGATTTTAGCCTAAAGAGCCAAGGTGTAAAGATTGGGTCGGTCTTGATCATAATAAAGACCGACTCAATACTATGATTAAGATCTTCGTTCTTGGTCTTCGTTTAGCTCTTGCTCTTATCTTCGTTCTTCGCCTTGTATATTCAATGTTCGACTTGATCACGGCGGTTTGGCATTATCATAACCTGTTACAAAAACGAACACGGCTTTAGTACGAAAACGTGACAAGCCCGTTTTTCAACAAATAAAGCACACTACACGCTCAGCGGTGAAGCTGAGTAAGCATATCTAAAACGTCGAACATCCACATAAATTGAATCTCAATTCATAATCAACCATTTGATATCATGCACACAATATATGGTTCAAACATTCTAAATATTTTCAATATTTTATTCCAAGTCATTTGATATTCAATATATATCAATAATGCTCTTAAATTATTCTTAATCTAAGGCCACATCATTTTATATTCAGCTCTTAGCTATTCCTAGTCTAAGGCAGTAATTCTAACCAGGCCCTTAAACTATAAATAGTTTAATGCAGAACACAAGAATCGATAATCCACCCTATGAGTCATGTGGATTACGTACCAACCGAACAATGATTTGTCGGGTGGGTGATATCCGGTCTGGATCCCGTACGTACGTTTTAACCCGAAATATGAATTGGTCAAGTAGGTATATCTT